GGCACGGCGCGGATAGGAGAGAAGAGGAGAGGAAAGGGGAGGGGAGGAGAGGAATCTTTGCCAGGGACAATGTGGCAACCTCTGCCCTTTACCATAATGAAGCCCCATAGGTAGCAGTGGAAGACTCGGTAACAAAGGGGCCGGGGTGTGGAATTTGATTGCCCACGTATGCTTGTGGCCGTCCTGTTGTGTCTTCTGGTCATGAGTCACAGTCAAAGCTAAAACAAATCTCCCGTAAAGGTTCTCGTTGAGCATCAGAATCGCCAAGAGCCACCTCACTGGCATCGATGGAGTAAGACACGCTTGGTGTTCTCAGCCTAATGAGATCTTTCCGACAGTGAGCCCGAGCCCATGGCCGGAAGGGAGCCTTGGGTGCTCTGTTCAGGAATCTGTGTGAGTACCTGTCACGGTCCCTGGGACGCGGGCGTCTGAACAAGAGTGACTGAGTGAATGTCTGTCCTCGGAGCTGAGCAAGATGCTTAGCTTAGGAGATAGAGCAGAATTTTGCCATTATTACAATAAAATATATAATAAGATCTAATCACTAACAATATTAATAATGTAATCATAAATAGTTATTTGGCATTTACTTTGTAATGGGCAGTATTAAAAGGACTCCACTTACACAAATGCATTGATCCACCCTGCAGTCTCCAGCCAGATAAGGGTTGTAGTTGGCTGAAGTTTCGTAGCTGTCCCTTGCTGGGTAAATGAGCTAGAGGAATGAGTTGGACTTACTCATCTGGGGCCGAAGTGTCCTGTGCTCTGGTGCCACAAGAGAAAGGCGGCTGGCTGCTCTGGCTCTGGAACAGCTCTTGCAATCTTCAGTTTCTCTGCTCTTTGGCCAGTTCCTGGTTCCATCAACTGTTTTTATACACCGTCCTCAGGCAAAGAGTAAAACCTGCCGTGAGAACCCCGGCCCCTTCCTTACCGAGTCTTCCACTGCTACCTATGGGCGTTCATCACGGTAAAGGGCAGAGGTTGCCACATTGTCCCTGGCAAAGAGCTCTCTCTCCCCTTCCCTCGCCTCGCTCCTCTTCCCTCCCTGCTCCTCCCCCCCCCCAGGTTCAATATAAAAAGCCTGGCAGTCATTTCAGCTGCGCATTAGGGCACTGCTTGTCCCCTAGAGTATAGTGCAAAGAGCCATCCAACATCAGAGCCAGATTTCCAGTCCCCTCCCTGCCTGGGGACCTCAAAAATTAGGATCATTAAATAAGAGGTGAAAACAAAGTCTTTTAAGTTTAATTAAAGTTTAGCTTAGCCCAGAGCCTGATGAACAGAAATCGCTCACTGAATGGAAACCAACAACACTATCCCTATCTCTTGGGTCTACTCTTGGGTCAACCCTATCTCTTGGGTCAGGACCAAGCGTCTTGTTTTTCTACCTGACTTTTTTTGGTGACTCATCTTTGCAGTTCTGGAAATGACTTGCCGTCCCTAATGCAACGTCTAGCTGCTCACAGCACTGTCACCACCTAGAAGTGTCATACCATGTGTACCGCAGTCCGCTGCTCTGGGCCTGCGCAGGTGGAGCTTGCTTCCCGAGGGTTCCTGGCACTCCGGAAGTCTGAGGTGTTAAGATTTGGGTGTTTCAGTGTTTCCCTCAAAAATAAATTTTACCAAAAAAGAGGGATGTGGGGCAGAACCTCTTTCATGGAAGTCAAGTCACAGTCTGATAATAAATGAATAAATACATTACAGTGATATCTTGTGTACGAAGGAATACAGTTGCAGAGGCCCTTGCTGTAAAAGGTAATATGTTTAATTTAGGGAAAGAAATTTAATAACTTGGACCGCAGAGACAAAAACAGGTCAGGGACTCCCAAAATCAGCTGTGACCATGAAACAGAGGCGAGTCTTTCTATCAAGAGAAACCGAAACTGGCCCTGGAAACACTGGGCTGAGAGAAGGAAGCCAGCACCCAATAGTGAGAGAATTTTGATACCTGGTTCAATGAAGATCTGTGGGATTTATGAGGTAATCCATAATTACGGTCTACCGATAGGTTCCATCTGTCGTGCCAACTCTGACTACAGTGACCACGGGGATGGGAAATAAGACAGAGCTCTTGGAAAGTGTATTTTTATTAGTGGAAATATTGTAGGAGTGAAGAATGAACTATAAATTAGCAATATACACACCAGAAAGGAACAGCAAGAGGCCAAGCATGCACATATGTGCCACTCCACCCTACCAGAGATGAGCGGGTGAAGCAGGAAGTCACCCCATTAAGTCTACAGGGGTACACTCCTAAGCTTTCTAAACATCTTGACTTTAAAAATTCAGATTTGGAAGTCAAGTGTGGGGGTGCACACCCATAACCTCAGGGCTCATGAGGCTGAGGCAGGAAGGCCGGGAGCTGATTGGGTGCAGCCTGGCCTGAACAGCAAGCGAAAGGACAACATGGACTACAAATCGAGGCCTTGCCTCAAAATTTTTTAAAGAATATTTTTAGTTACAGTGCGCATCAGAAAGCCTCACAGCAGACAGGTCATGCAGGCATGTGAATATACTTCCCACGGCTTTCAAACATAGCCTAAATTTGTCTAAGATGGTGTC